GCGAGTTCCCCAGGGGAGATCGGTCCTGAGCCAGCAGGTCAGTGAACTCTTTGCAGATCTGTCTGCAGCGGAACAGAGAGCGAGGTGAAGCTCCCACCAGGCTTTACAGGCAACAGGGGAAAAGGCAACGCTCCCTGCAGTCACCTCTGCCTCCACCCCCACCCCCAACCCCCTCAGGACCCAAGACCAGCCGCTCAGAATGGTGAAGCCTGCCACTGCTGAACCAGTGATCCTCCCTGGAATGAATACCCTTCCTACCTCAAAAGGACCTTCTCTCCCCAGCCCCCACCCCTCAAACACAACAAACTTCTGCCTACATCTTTCTCATTCATAGCAAACTCCCTGGACACAGGAAAGTATTTTACAGGCTGCACCGGAAGTTAGAAACACAATCGTCCCTCTTCAGTATTGTAGAACCATCAGTTTTGCTTTTCAAAATGTCGTCAGAGTCTGCCCCACACACTCCCAAAGGAGACACAGTAGCAGTTGGTGGAATGGAGTCTCCTCTCATTTACCTTCAAACCCAGTGAGGTCTGAGTTTCCAAGGAAAGGCAAACTTAGCTTTTTAAAAACAGCAACAAGGCTGGGGAGAGAGCTCACTGGAAAAGGGGCTTGACCACACAGATTAGGACTTGAGTTCGGATTCCCAAAACTCATGTAAAAGCCTAACTTGAAGGCTTGTGTCTCCAACGCCAGTGCTGGGTGACAGGCAGGGGTAATCCAGTGGTTTGCTGGACAGCCAATCTAGTCCAAATGGTGAGCTCTGGGGTCAGTGACAGACTGTTTCAAAGAAAACTGTGGAGAGTCACAGAGAAAGGAAACCCAGGAAGTCGATCTGGCCCTGGAAGCCAGCTGTAGCAGGGACCTTCCTGAGATGGCTACAGTGGGTGTGTGTGTGTATGTGTGTAAAGGTGAGGAAGCAGTGTTATCAGGCCAGAAACTGTCCCACCCGAGGCCTCAGTTTCTTAATTCTCTACAGCAGTGCCCTCCAGTGACACCAGCTTTTGGTAATTAGGGACTTTAAAACAATCCTTTTAAATTTCCAGAAAACATATCAAAACAGTCATTTTCTTTTCAATCTGGAGAAGTCTATTCAGCCCAGGCACCTATGGGAATATAAACTTGGGCCACCTTGAAACCCATTTGACAGCTTGCTTGTAGGCTAAAACTTAGAGTATGACTGTGACTCTGTTTGTGTGTCTCTGTCTCGATATATAGGGGGGGGGGGGGGGGGGGGGAGAGAGAGAGAGAGAGAGAGAGAGAGAGAGAGAGAGAGAGAGAGAGAGAGAGAGAGAGAGAGACTTTTGAGGCTAGAAGAGAATGAAATGGAATCCAGGATTAGAGGTAAAAGTAGGGCAGTTTCTGGATGGCACATTTTGCAGGTCCCAGCTTAATCTTTGCCCTTGGAGAACATACTGATGAGAGAAAATGTGGACCTAGGCAAGCCTGATTGGTACCTTTGAGGACTTGGACTCTGGTTTCTATGAAACAACACTGTCACAAATCCACACCCTTTCAGTGCAATCCCTGCTGCCCCCCCACACCCCCACTAATTTCAAAGTTAGTGAATAAGAAAGAGACTGAAGAGAGGGAGAACACAGGAAGCACACTGACACTCCCACGCTGTTTCCTCTTTGATACAGTCTGTGCTAATTTATGTTTGTGCCCTGACTTCAGTATTCACAGCAAAGCTGATCAATAGGAATGAAAAAGAGAAGAGAGCACAAGATAGTTTTGTTTTGTTTTTGACAGTGAACAGCCTAGACCCCGCAGAGGTAAATGCCTTACTTTGTAGCCAGGAGCATGTTTTTTCTTGTCACTTGCTCATTGGGATCGGAATGTTGTCGGTTGAGAAATTCCGCTACTGCTTTGGCAGGAAATTCAGTTTCGCACACGTACCCAAAGTCCCTGGCTAGGTGGACGGCTTCTCCTGGCAAGAGGTAGGAGGAGGGAAGTGAGGGCCAGAGAAAGAAGAAATTGGGAATCAAAGTCTCCTCCCTACACCCAACTCCCTTAGTTTTCTTCACTAAAAGTTGGAAGGAACAGAAACCCCTTGTTTTCTTACTTTAGAGATTCCTTCTCTGTGAGACCTGGAGACCTTACTCATCAGTAAAAGTGCCAAGTTGGCTTACAAGGCCAAAATGCTTTGAAAATGTTAATCCCACCCATCGCCCCATACCCATCCCTGAGGGATGTTTCCCCAACTTCTGTTTGAAAATGGCTCTGCCGTCTCAACCTCACACCTATCAACACACTCGTCAATGATGTTCCATAATTACTCCTTGAGCTTTTCAGCAAGGGAACAACTGAGAGTTTACATTTTAACTTGATCACATATAATTATCTGTTCATCCAAGCCGATTAACCAAGAGGATTTGAGGGTCACTCCACTGAGTCTGTCTGTGTTGTTGATTTTCGAATCTTTGGTTTTAATTTCCTGAACCAGTTGGTTTTTACTGCAGGGCTTCCTGCCATTAGCTCCAGCTCCGGAAGAACGCATGCGCCAATTAGAGCATCAAAGGCCTCTCGGCAGAGCTTGTTTCCATAAAATGGAGCGGATCACAAACAATAACAGTTCTCCAGAAACTGCCTCCCCACTGCAGTCTCAACCCCCAGACCCAGACCAATGCTCACGCGCCATCCTCGGCTGCCACCACCATTTTCATGACATATAATTTGGGAGGTAGGATATGAAAAGTGGTTTTCTACATACTACCATTATTTTAATATAATGTGGCTGTATTTGAATTTCTGGCCTTGAACAATGGCTGGGGTTTTCTTGCTTTTTTTTTTTTTTTTAAGTTTCATCATCTTCATCTTCAACACCGTTTAACACATGAAAGTCATAGAATTCCTCCTCAAAAACATTTGTTTCAGATGCTTTCTAGAAACTTCCAAAAAACTTGGATCCAATGGCACTATCTCCTCCAACACACTATGCAAATAAGATAAAATTGCCTCATTGAAATATAAATGCTAGTTTTAAATCTGCCTAGGAATAAATTACTATTTTTTAAATTTTCCTTTTAACAAGAGATATAACAAGCCACAAAGAAAAGCACAAGAGAACTATGCATTCACCCAACCCTTAATCCCAACCTTAAACCAACTGACTATCAGAAAAAGTTAGGAATCTAGGAGGCAGGAACATGAACGGATTCTGGTGACAGTTTTTGTTTAACTGGACAGGGATGGCTTTTTGTCTTGAGGAATTTGGCAGGGTGTGTGTGCTCAAAAATCTGCCATAAGAAACTCTTTTACAATGTGTCTGCTTCTTTTTCTCTTTCTGTATCTGACAATCCAAATTCTAAAATTGCTCACTTTCTTTCAATCGTGGAGAGAACGAAACACAATGAAGCAGGAGATGAGGAAGTACATGTTTAGAAAACAACTACTACAAGGGCTTTAACCCTGAGCTTTCAGGACAGTCTTAAATCAGGATGCAGGTCAAAGATTCCCAAATTAATTCAGGAAGTAATGGTCACGCATTTCTCAAACGCAGATGTCAGAATAACTTAAGTGATTTACTGCTGAGTTCTTTAGAGGAGACAGGAACTTGGAGAATGTGTGGCTCTTAAATTTGTGCATTGTTTAGGTCAGATTTGTGCTGAGGACAAGGTAATTTTATGGTAGACAGGAAGAACATATAGGCATGAGTGTATATAGTCTCTGGAGTTTTGTTTGGCTTTGTTACTTGGTTTTCCTTGACATCCCAGAATTCTGTTCACTTCCAGTTATAGCTATATTCCATGGAAAGGTGAAACCACCAAAGTACACAAAACACACTCAAACATCTGGCCACTAAATATTATCCATTTCCCCAGACAACTGTTCCCTTCTACTTAGCAAGTGGATTTGCTTACCTTCCACTAATGATGTAAGCAGGGTGACGTTGGCAGCTTTGCGTCTCCCTGCTGGCAGATTTAATCCTATTTTGTCCAGTTTTTCTCTTAAAGATCGTCCTCCATTCTTAGACTTCGCTCTGTTTCATAAAGATATAGAAAATATTGACTTGCTCTGTGTCACATTAAAGTAATTTTGAACACTTTCTAAAATGTGTTCTTGAAAACTGAGAAGCCTAAGGAACTGTACAGAAAGGTTGTAGGAGATAAAGGCTAGTTCAGCTGTAAAGCACACACTGTGTTCAGTTATTGTTGCGACTATTGTGGCAGGTTGGGAGCTTTTCTGTTTCTAGTTCTCTGAAGAAGAGCTGCAAACACATAGTTCTGAACTCTGGAGCTGGAGGTATTCTTGAGGTCAGCTGATTACTGTGTATTTTCCCTGTTGCTACAATAACACAAACCCCAGTGGGGTCTTTAAATTGTCTTCACAAGATCTGCTGTTAGGTCGTTCCCAGTAACCAAAGTTATCATCACGCTCACATTTCATGCTCTCGCTTTGGTCCCAATGGGAAACGCATCTCGACAACTGTTTACATGCCACGTCAGGAGCATAACTGGAAATGTCAAAAGGATGATGGCTGATATCAGCCTTCAAAAATTTCCCTGATTTCAGAGACAATGGAGGCGCTTCTAAATAGATGTCTAAATAGACTCCCATAATCAGAAAGTGGTTAAGATAAATTGTTTAAATAAAACAGCAAATTAATTAATTTCAGATTTTATTCCCTACTCAAGTGGCTCTTTAATTGCGTGGATTAGATTATACTCCCTTAGGTAAGCAGTCTCCGATACTGGTGATGGGGGAAGGGGAGGAAAAAGCAGAGGGCAGAGAAAGATCTCTGGCAGTAAAAGAACTAAGGAAAAACCAAGTGACTGAACGATGATGACAGTCGCTGGTATTAATTCTGCAAAACCCTCTTAGAGGATGTAGGTGAGCTGTACCCACCAAGGCCCAACTCCGGGTCATTAAGATTCAGGAATAAAGTTAGACATGGAGAGGAGAGTAAGAGACATACTATTTGACCAAATGTAACACTAGGCCTACAACTCACACCATCGGGTAGATTCCTAAGATGGAGGGCATACCGCTGGGTCCCAGGAAAGACATTCCCTGGCCCTTGTGAATCTCACTCCACCTCAGAGAGGCGAGAAACCCGTGTTAACGGATGTGGTCCCTGAGAGCGGCTACATATAATGAACGGAAACTGGAAACGTGCCCTGTCACACATCACAGTAAATCAGAACCGTCGAAAGCTAGCGCAGAGGCTGGGGGTAGGGGGAGCATTCTGGCGGGAGGTGCCAGCAACCAGGGTTGGGGAGGCATGCGGCATGCAAAAGTCTCGCTTTACTTGAAAACCAGTCTCCACTCAAGGGCGACAGGTTCCCATCAGAGACCCCACGCTTCGGTAAGGCAAAGCGAGGAGCCCACAAGTTTTCCTGAGCTTGCAACCTGTGTGCAACCAGGGAAAAGGCAGCTGCACGGCGCCCCATGGCTGCCAAGGCCGGGACTGA